TGATTTGAGGTGTGTTGTACTGGTGACGACGACAATGGTAGTTGTAGTAGATTGGGGTTAGGGTGGGCCCTGGTGGAGGCGGTGGTTGTGGCGGCGATGGTGGTGGTGGTGGAATGGGGTTAGGGTAGGGTAGGGTGTGGTGGTAAAGTGGTTTATGACCAATAAATTGACTAATTTGTGACCAATAAGTAATATATGATCGATAAAATAGATAATTTGTTACTAATAAATAATATGTGAACGATAAAAATATTTGGTTGATGAAATATGTGATCGGCAAAATATGTGACCAATAATTTGTGACCTGTAAATATGTAATTGTGACAAAAATTGTGATTTTAATTAAAAAAATATTTTTTACTATTTATTTAATTTAAAAAATCAGAATTACCACCTAATTTTTGAAAAGTTGAATGAAGTTTGTTAAAAATGAAATTGTATTTGACAAATACTTTATTTTACGAATTTTTCCCTTATTTATAGACCTTCATCCCTTTAAAAAAATGATATCTTTTCGATGTGGGACCAAATAAAATCCTTCATAAAGCCCGAACACTTCAACAATAAAGACTTTGAAAGGATCTCACGTGGATTTTTCATTTTGAGCAAATTAGGTCCATTGCGGTCCAACGATTTAAAATTCGAAAAATTCATTTACTCATGTTTTGATTGGGATAAGAAAGTTCTGCTCAAATTGACCCCTCGATTTACTAAAGAGTAATGATATTCATCCATACTGGGGATGGAAACACAGTCTATGTGGCATCAATGTGGCATCAAATGATAGGTGAAATTAAATAAGTTATTTAATTTCACATTTCATTTAACCTATCATTTAAAGTCACATAGACTGTGTATTCATCCCCACTGGAGATGAATAACATTACTCTTTACTAAACATGCTCTCCTCTCTCCACTCGTGTCTCGCAGAAGAACTTTCCCTCTTTTCTCTTTCATCTCTCCCCATTTTAGAAATTAATTACAAGCAAATATCTCAAAGAAAAGTAATAATTGTATAAGATAAGTGGAAGTTGGTTGCTCAAATATAAGGTCTATCAATCAGTATAATCCATTATTCAACTCCATAACGTCTTGAAATAGTCCGAGGATTTATTGTCATCAGAGTCAACTCGACTTGCTCCTCTATCAATTGAACTCGATTCGTTGATATGCTCCTTTAACTTTACAATCTAAATATTCTCGTTTTAGCTATTTTGTTTACTTAACCTTTATTTTCTCAAGTTAAAAAATAGGAAAAAATAAAGGGAGCCGTTATTTCATCTCATATTCTTATATATCTATTCACTTTTAAAATTTATTTGAATTTACTTAAATAGACAACAATAAAATAAAATAAAATCTATCACTTTAAATACTTTAAAATATATATAGCTTTATTTGCTTCAACTTTGCATTACAATTTGCACATGAAAAAGAGCCCACAAAATTACAACATCAATCTGCAAACTGAACTCCTAAGGATCTTCAACGCCAAGATATACCGTATCGGTAGGGCTCAGAAAAATCAAGGGCGGACTTGAGAATTTTTCAGGCCTGGTCGAATTATAAAAGGTGGACCTTTAAACCGAAGTATGCATTTAATTTTTTTTTTTTTTCTTCATTAAACTTCCATCACACACATTCAACTATTGTCCGTATAATTCAAAAAGAAAAAAAAAAAATTGAAACTAATATTATGGGAAAGCTTGCAATACATACTGTTAAAAATTAGCTGAATTAAATCGTCCTAGTCACCCAAAAATATTTAAAATCCGACACCATATGCAGGAAATTTTAAATGATAGACCCTTGACGAGGATCTATAAAATATAAAAATATAAAAATTTTAGCTTGTAGCCACTCTGATTGCTCCTCTTTGTATGTTCTTTCTTAGGAAATGATGCAATCTTTTTGGCATTATTTAAAATAAATTGTTAAGTGGATTCAATTTTAAAACTTAAAAGAAAGAAGAAAAAAGAGTAATACTATTTGCAGTCGTCCACTATCATAGTCGTCATACTTAACATACATAATGTGACGATTAATGATTTGATATATTAATATTTTAATTTTTTACTGGCTCATACATCAAATCATTAACCGTCATTTATAATATGTGTGTGTCATGCAGGGTGACCACGGTCAAATAGTATTATTAAAAAATAAAAAGAAGAAAAAGAAACACTGAAACAAGTTATAAATGGGATAATGACTTATATATGGTGTGTTTGAACCACATTATGTTGGAAGAATGTATTTTTGAATAATAGATTGATGGAGAATGTGTGGTTGAAAAAGAAGGAAAAATTATTGCTGTGATGGAAAATATTATTTTATTGAAAAATGTGTGATTGAAAATGAGTAGAAGAATGAAAATTTTAGTGTGGCTCAAACAGGAGCATAATATAAAAATGTATGTCAATAAAAGAATATAATGAACCCATGTTTGACTCCATTTTTTAAAATTCATTTTTCAATCACATATTTTATGAAATTTATAACTTTTATCAATTTTTTCACAATATATTTCATCAATTTTTATTCAAATATACTAAAAATTTAATTTTTATCTAAATCAATGAAGCCGGTGCATGAGCTCTCTCGTGGAAGTTGGGCCTTATGTTTTATCTTCATCGTGGGCCTATGCAACAGACTCGTCATCCTCCCAAAATTGTTTGATGGTACCCTTAGGGTCCGTTTGATTGCAAAGGTGGAAAATGAGTGGAAAGAAAATGAATTCTAGGGAATTGAATTATCTAAAAATTGTTTTACTAGAAATTGTAATTAATTGTGTTTGATTGATATAATTTTCCACCTGAAAAATGTTAAAAGTTTGGTGTCTGTTTAACTTTCTTTTTCATGGAAATGGTCCATTAAAGTGATGATTTCCTTTACCATTGGGTCTAAATTTTGTTTCACTTTCCCAAAAAAATTAAAAAATAATTTTTTTAAAAATTTTACCATACCGAATACCATTCGTTTGGCTTTGTTTTGTATGAAAATTGTCAATAAAAGTGACAAATTTTTTTAACATTGTATCTAAAAAATTTTCCAATTGCTTAAAAAAAGATGGAAAATCAATTTCCACCAAAATGGTGGGAATTGATTTTCCACAAAACCAAGGAATTGGTGACCATGTGAGCCAAATGTGAAAAAAAAATTCATGGAAAATAAAGTGTATCAAACAATGCAACAATGGAAATTGGAATTTGTTTTCACAAGGGCGGACTTGAGAATTTTTCAAGCCTGGTCAAATTATAAAAGGTGGACCTTTAAATCGAAGTATGCATTAAATTTTTTTTTTCTTCATTAAAATTCCATCACACTTTCAACTATTGTCCGTATAATTCAAAAAGAAAAAAATGGAATTGAATTGTCTAGAAATTGTTTTACTAGGAATTGTAATTAATTGTGTTTAATTGATATAATTTTCCACCTGAAAAATGTTGAAAGTTTTTGGTATCCGTTTGACTTTCTTTTTCATGAAAATTGTCCATTAAAGTGATAATTTCATTTACCATTGGGTCTAAAATTTGTTTCACTTGCCCAAAAAACTTTAAAAAATTTTACCATACCAAATACCATTCGTTTGTATGAAAATTATCAATAAAAGTGACAAATTTTTTTAACATTGTATCTAAAAACTTTTCCAATTGCTTAAAAAAAGATGGAAAATCAATTCCCACCAAAATGGAGGAAATTGATTTTCCACAAAACTAAGGAATTGGTGAGCATGTGAGCCAAATGTGAAAAAAATTTCTATGGAAAATAAAGTATATCAAACAAGGCAAAAGTAGAAGTTAGAATTTGTTTTCCATTTTTCATGGAAAATAATACCTTATCAAACAGGGCCTTAAATCTATTTTCTTCTTACAATATTCTTAATAAGGAGCGGTTTGACTTTTTTTTTTTTATTATTTGTTATTTCTTCAAAAAGTATATCTAAATTTCCCCAAACCTTAATTTAATCGCCTCAACATTTTTAATCCCCAAATTTCTTTTAGTTATTATTATTATTATTATTATTATTATTATTATTTTCAAATTATCTTTCCAAAACGTCTTACGTCCAATTCATACATTTCCGATTGTAAAGTCAACTCGACAAATGACAAATCCAAAAGAGCATGTTTTGTTAAACTTAAAAAATAAGTAACTTATTTTTACAGACAACAACAATTATTTAAAAAGTTACCTTTTTATGTAAAAATAAAAAATAAAAAAAATAAAGTTGTTAAAACATATTTAATGACGCATGGTGTCTTCATTCTATTGTGCATGTAACAAAGAAATAGTTATTAATTGTTTTTTTTTAAAGCAAAATGAGTTATTATTAATTAAACATATGGTAAAATCAATTGTTAAAGAAAAAAAACATAAAGTAAGATCATCATCTTAGGATTCAAATGCAACAAAATAAAAGGGTTGAGACTGTATGTAAATACTAGATTGAGTACTTAGGTACTATATTTTAATTTTATTTAAGGTCTTCAATTTTTGTTTACTATAGCATTTATGTCCTAAAAATTTTTCGACGCATTTTTATTCACAACATTCTATTATTTAGCACGTGGCATATCAGATAACATTTTTTGTCCAAAAATACGTTCAAAGGGCAAAAAATAACTCATTTGTCTTTCATACTTGAATAATAAATGCGAAAATATGACAAAATATATTTTTCACATTTTAAAGCACGAGAACAAAATATTTTGACACTAATAATTGAAGATAAGAACTCAACAAAAAACTGAGGAACGTAAGTATTAAAATGAACAAAGACTGATAACCTTAAATGCAATTTTAAAGTAAATAGACTTTCACTGGCCAAACGTGCCCTCTGGCTATCAAATGACGAGAAACCCCATAGAGTTTTAAAACAATTCCAAACATATCCACAAACCCCAACGTAAAACTTCCACCCGGAAAATCAGCACTGGAACATCGAAAGCCGCCTCAACTCCTTTTTGCTCTCAGATCTTTCATTAGTTACTGAAGAAATGGGAAAGAGTGACGATTCAATAGCGAGAAGAAAGAACAGAAAGAACAGAAAAAAACAGGAGGACAAAGATTCTTCCTCAAAGGTTTCTGCTCGCGTTGCTTCCATTATCGCCGCCAAGAAGCGGCGGATGTCTGGCAAACGCCGCAACTGTGAGGTAACTTTACATGAAGAAGATTTTTCTTTTGATTTTGTTGACAATTGTGGGAGTAAAGAGAATCCAGCTCTGCTATGTGTACAGAAAATGGCTATCCAGAATACACAAATAAAATAAAAACAGACCAAACAGACTGTTGAAATTCTGGCAGCGGTTCCTCTGCAAAAGGGAAATTGCTGAAGAGAATCTGGGTTTACATAATTTTTTGTGGAATTATCTAGGATTTTATTGTCTAAGTATTATATATGTTTGTTCTTGAAAAAAAAAAGGAAAGAGCTTTTCCTTTTTCGTTTTGGGTTTTTAGTATAATTATTTTGCTTTTGATTTTGGTGACAATTTTGGGATTAAAGAGAATCTGGGTTTATGTGATTTTGGTGGGCATTTCTTGGATTTTATTATAATTTTTTCTCTTGGAACATCATGCGATGCTGCTATAACGCAAATAAGTGTAACGTGTGTGTTTCAGTGCTCAAGAATGGAGAAATGAGCCAGAAATAATAGGTGTGTGAAAATACAAAATGGGAATAAAGAAAGAAAATAATTCAATAAGCCGCCTTGAAGAATTAGATGGTTGGGACATATGCATCCTAGACCTGAACTAGCAATTCATTTTCACTTGATCATGATTAATACGTTCGGGTCTTTGAGAAAATTTTGATTTCATTGAACAATTTAGAATATGTTATCTGAATGGACAAAATAGAAAAACGAATTCATGTTGATGTTTCTAGTTTATTGAGAACAATTGCTTTGCTTGCAGTTGCTTCTGATAAGTCGATGAGTTCTGTACACAGATCTTTCTCGAATTATTAATTACAATTGACTGAAAATATAAGTTATCTAGCAAATTGTAAATGTAGTTGTTTCGTGGTCTTAGGTTTTCCCTTTGTCAAATTTGCAAATTGGTGTTTGAGTAGATGTATGTTTGTGAAATTATTCGTATTAAGAATACTAAGTTTATGGCTTTGTGGAAGTGAATTTTGTTATCCAATGTGTCTTGCCAATGGAAATTTTTATTGCTCATGGGAAACAATATTTATATATTCATGACTATGCCTTTTTTTTTCCTTGTTGCTTGAAGATAATGATTAAAGAATGGTTGTTGCTTCAGTATATGCATATCATGATATCAACATTTTTTTTGTTTTTTGCCCTACTCTTTTGTTATTTCAAACAGTGGTATGGTGAAGCATTCATGCTATATTCATTAATTCTGTTTATTTTTGTCCATGTACCTTAGAACCTTTTGTTTCATTGCCAGGGTATGTGTTTTAGCCTTCCCACGCCTGAAGATCCCTTTAATGACAGAAATGTGACAACTGATCTTGGAAAGAAAAGGAAGAAACCTGTGCGTTCCAAAGCAGATAAGATGCCTATTGACAAAAATAGTGTTAAGATAAGAAAAGGGTCTCGGGATAATAATGATCATCAAAAGAAGGAACTAAAGAAGCAAGATAATACAGTCGATCTCCGAAAAGAAATGGTCCAGTTGAGTAATGAGGATGGACCTAACCACTTTGAAAACAAACATGGTCTTGAAAACAACATAGAGTGTCCATCAAAATTTTTGATTATGTGTCTGAATTCAGTTCAGAATGCATTATGTCACAGTGGAACCATTAATAATGAAGATAAACCTCTTTTTGCCAATGCATGGGGGATCAAGTTCTGGAATTGCTATTCAAATGGAAAAAATTTACTGGAAACAAGTGGAGCTGATTCCACAATTCAGCAAATTGCTTGGATCGCATCAACAGCTGCTGATTCCATTGCAAGAAAGGAGAAAGAGGGAGTGTCGTTTACTGGTCCTTTCCTTTTATTCCTTGTACCATCTCAAGAAAAAGCTTCTCAGGTTGGTATACTATAATCTGCTAGATTTCGAATACAAATCACACATTGAGCTTACTGTCTTCCCTCTTTGCCTGACTGTTTACGAGTTACTACCTGGTTTTACTTGGCTCCGAGGTTAAATATTCCTTTAAATTTAACTTGATTGCCAGAAACTACTACATAAACTAATTTTCAAAACAAAATTACAGCCGTCAATTCCTTCTGACACTACTTACTGTTTCAGTCTGAAATATGTTTTCTACTGGCTTGTACAAAACCAATCGTTTACACTGTAAGGTAAACTGGAAAATCTCTATGGCTTATCTTTACCCTCAACATGCTGCATAATTTTACAAAAAATAAATTCCACCTATTCTTTGGATACTATATACTTAAAAATCTGTCCTGAATTATTTAATTATTTCATTGTCTCATTTATGGCTATATTGTACGCATTATCAGGTTCGCCAAGTGTGCAAGCCTTTGAAAGCTATTGGAATTCATACAGTGAGTCTGCATCCAGGTGCCTCCGTAGAACATCAAATTAATGGGTTAGCATCCTGACCAAATTTATGGGCAGAAGATTTGTTAAGTAATATTTTCAAGTGTGTGAAATTTTATATTGGTGACTTCCCAATCTCTAAAATATACAAGGTAATTGATATGTAGTAATACACTCTTATCATTAATAATATTCATGAAGATTGACCCATAAGTAAGCTTGTTTATGTATTGTCTTCGTATTATGTGCTATGAAAACTAGCTTGCAGCACAAGCAAGGCTGCACGTGGAATATTTCATTAGAGCGATTAGATTATATGTCATATACATGTATGCAAGTAGTTAGACACCGGAAACATAATTACATGTCTATGAATTTAATGATTTTTTATGTTTTAGTTTAATTGTGCCAGAAAAAGCTTGAGAGTTTCCTGGAAGCTGGAAAGAGTTTGGTTCTTTTTGAGTAGTTTAGTTTTCGTCATTTTGATGAGTGATCCTGGAAGAGTTGTCCCTGCAAGATGTCATTACAATACCATAATGATATTACTGATGCATGTACAATAAGCAATCAGCAGGTTTTTAGCAGAAATTTGTGTTTATCATAGTGAGCCATTTGTATTCAAATTGATGATATCTGCAATGTTATATGTAGGGGTGTGTGTGTGTATGTGTGTGTGTATATGCCTTTAGTATAATTTGTTTTTAACCTGTTTAAGCCAGTCAAACCAGGATCTTATTTAATGCACAAAGCTTCTCGCCTTATGTAATCGTATTAACTTGACAGTTTAAAGAGTTGTGAACCAGAATTTCTCATCTCTACCCCTCAGAGACTATTGGAGCTCATCTCCTCAAAGGCGGTTGACATATCTGGGGTTTCCTTACTGGTAATTTTTCATATTTAATATCCTTAAATGTTTTACTTATTTTATCTAGTGCACCATTTTATGTGTCATCTGTATAAGATAAAATGTGAAAATTGAAAGAATAAGAGATTGTAATTGGGAAGATCATGAAATATATATAGATAATTTTATATTTTTCTGATACTTGCCTTTCATGCCTATAGGTTGTTGATGGATTGGAAGCGCCTTATGCAGGAAGTTACTTTGATATGGTCAATTCCATCAGATATCACATCTCAGAAGATGCTCGAACTGTGTTGTTCAGTGACTGTACGAATAATTCATCTGTTTCTGTAGTTCAAAAGCTTCTAGCGGGATCAGTCTGCAGATCATCTATTAGTACTTACATGAACGGTCAAAGTGCATGCATTATGTCCACAAATATGTCAAAAGAATAAAAGCTGTTATAGGTATGTTTGTGATTGATAGTGTAACTCTATTTTTGGTTTTGATTGCATGAATATTCTCTGCTTTAGTTGCAAAGCCTTGTAACATCTTTCATTTGTTTGCAGAAGTTGAGATTTTATTGATGTTTGATCATCCATTTGGCCGCGATATTTGCATTTTTCTGGAGCTCAATCATTTCTTCTGACTTGTTTACGGTAGCTATCCTCGAAAGCAGCTCTCAGTTTGCTTCTTATCAAGAATTTTGGTATTCATGGAGGCAGTATTTCCTTGTTTGTCAAACATAGAATATTATGATGTTTCGTCTCGGTCTTATTTGATTATTAACGCTGACAAGGCTCCGTGCCAAATCTCGCAATTATTTGTCACTGACTACATATTAAAAAGGAATTTGTAATTTCCTACAGATTAATACTCTCAAATTGTTATTTGTCACTTGATTGAACTTTGAAACTGAAGTAAAAAAGGAATTTGAGTCCAATCCACAGACTACATGTATGGTTATAGACTCCCATGTTAGAATATATCCGGAATTTGACTGTAGTTGCCGGTTTTTCTTGAACTTCTTGACTTTCTTATTCTCATACTACTACCTAAGTAGTCATATTTTGTACCTTGTAAACTGGTGAGTTGTGAAATCTGTAGGAAATTACAAATTCCATAAAGCAAGCACGTCTCTATAAAATGTCACCCATCTTCTATTCGAGTCATTACTTCAATCTTACCAGATATTTCTTAATACTTAAAATCAGACACCTGAGAACTTGAGCAACGAATATCTCATTCAGTTTTTTGTGTTTTCTGAAAAAAGAAAAAAACACGAGCTCTCCCTTGCACGCACGTGCATTTAGTGCACGAGAAATACAAATTACACTTCATATCTCAAGAATTAGATAGCTTTTGTGCACGTACGAGTACCATCATATCAACATATTAATGGAAAGGAGTTTGTCTACCGGTACTATGATGCCGGAGATGGAGGTGCTTTCCAGTCGCCGGAACAATGTTTTTGGCCCTGTTGGATTGCTTTGGCAGCAGGCCAAGGCGCCATTGATAGTGCTATTCTTGAAAATAATGGTTATTGTGTGCTTAATAATGTCAACAATGTTACTCGTGGAGAGGGTTTATATGGGAATTGTTATACTTTTCGTCAAGCTGTTGAGGCAGAAACCTGAAAAATGGTACAAATGGGAGCCCATTAAAGAAGATGATTTGGAGCAGGGCAATTTATCTATTCCTCTGGTTTTGGTGCAAATACCAATTTGCAATGAGAAAGAGGTAACACGTCGAAAATAACATCTAAATAAATAAATTTATTCTAAAATATCAGTGGCTTTTTAACTTTAGACAATAGAAATGAACATGACATAAATTGAGTGCGATTTGAAGACAAAATTTAATAAATATTTTTATCTTAAGCGTTCAAAATATCAACCCTAACAACGTGACCGTGCAGACTTACAACTGCTTCAAACAATTTGAATATATATATATATATATTTTCCTAAATAATTTAATTATACTTTATTGCTCTTGATTCATTATTTTCAGAAATTAGTTGAATAAAACTTTCTTAAAAATTTTAGGTGTATCAGCTGTCCATCGGAGCTGCTTGTGGCCTCTCGTGGCCAAGGGATCGTATTATAATTCAAGTTCTAGACGATTCAACGGATCCAGCCATCAAGGTTTTATTCTATGCCTCTAGTCATTCTTGTAGAATTGCAATTTTGATTGACATCAATAGTTAATATTGAAATCACTTTGGAGCCTGATTCATGAGTTACTTGATCCGCTTGAGTCAACCAAATAGGGACTTGACTCGACCTAGTCGCATAAATCTTTCTTAAGAAAGTATCTATATATAATTTGACAAAATTTTTTGAAACCCACAATCTTCTTTCATTTTAACCCAAGAAGTACATTTAAAAAAAAAAAGAAAAGAAAAAGAAAACGGGTTGCCTAACTTTGATATGGTTCATTCTTGGCACTTTCAATAAATTTACAAAGTAAAATTAAATTCACGCAAGCAAAGAAGATATTGTTTTGCTGGATTGTTTTTCTTTATTTTCTTCTAAAAATATTTTGTTAATTTAATTGTGTGATGCAAAATATACGAACAGGTGTTGGTGCAACAAGAATGTTGGAGATGGGCAAGTAAAGGTGTGAACATAAAGTATGAAATAAGAGATAATAAAATTGGTTATAAAGCTGGGTCACTTAGGGAAGGAATGAAGCATAGTTATGTAAAATTATGTGACTATGTTGCAATCTTTGATGCTGATTTTCAACCTCACCCTAATTTCTTGCGACGCTCCATACCATTTCTTGTACACAATTCGGAAATTGCCCTCGTTCAGGCCCGATGGAAATTTGGCAAGTATCCTGATCATATGACTCTTATGAGCTACGACACTAAGGAACAAAAAGAAACTAAACTTTTGTTTATTGTGTTGTTTGTTCGGTTTGGTAAATGCAGTCAACTCTGATGAGTGTTTGCTGACAAGAATGCAAGAGATGTCCTTGGATTACCATTTCACAGTGGAGCAAGAAGTTGGATCTGCAACTTGTGCATTTTTTGGTTTCAATGGTAACATTCTCACTAGCTAGGAAATCAAATCATCGGACCCTTTATTGACTGAAATTCGGTGAATTGTTAATGTAGGAACTGCTGGAGTGTGGAGAATTTCGGCTCTTAACGAGGCCGGAGGATGGAAAGATCGAACAACGGTTGAGGATATGGATCTTGCCATCCGAGCTGGTCTCGAAGGATGGAAATTTGTATATCTTGGCGATCTCCAGGTAGAACACTAATCATTATTTTCGAAATTTGGAGTCAACTACTTGAATCATTTTTTGTCACTTCATTTTATTCATTGCTACATTTACTCGGAAGATTTATGATCACTACATCTTTATCGACTACCCAAGTTTTGATCTATCCCTCTCTTTTCTAGCGTATGAATAAAAGCCTTTTTTAGAACTATGCTAGTTATGTCCCCATAAAACGTGATTTTCTTAATATATATTCGATCGGTGCTTGCATTCTCATATTCAGGTAAAAAGTGAATTGCCGAGTACCTTGAAAGCCTATCGTAATCAGCAACACCGTTGGTCTTGCGGTCCTGCCAATCTTTTCAAGAAAATGGCTATGGAAATTCTTATAAACAAAGTAAGTCTCTCTTGTTGAGCTTCTTTTCAATTATGCCACGGTCTACCCACATCTTACAATAGCCGGGGAAAAAGGGTCACAGATTTTTTAATCTTTCCTCACTATGATTCACTCTTTTTCTGATTATTTTTGCAGAAAGTTTCGTCGTGGAAGAAGATTTATCTGATTTACAGTTTCTTCTTTGTTAGAAAAATTGTTGCTCATGCTGTCACCTTTGTCTTTTACTGTGTGGTTTTGCCCGCAACTGTTTTGGTCCCTGAAGTGCATGTTCCTAAATGGGGAGTTGTTTATATTCCATCTATAATCACTCTTCTCAATGCTGTTGGGACTCCAAGGTTCGATTTTACGTGTTCAATCTACAGTACTGGATTAAACTAGACACTTCAATGCACAAAACTTTTAAACATTTTTACTTCCCTAATGCTAGTAGTCTAGTTTACTCTTTAGTCCAGCTTACACATGCCGAATTTAGCGTCTTGTTCCATACGCTAACATAAATTTGTTTGCTATTTTCCCAGATCACTTCACCTGTTGGTTTTTTGGGTCCTGTTTGAAAATGTCATGGCTATGCATCGAACAAAGGCCACGTTAATAGGCCTATTTGAGGTGGGAAGAGTAAATGAATGGATTGTCACCAAGAAACTTGGAGATGGTCTCAAGACAAAATTAAGCTCTAAATCCGTCACGAAACTTAGTATCAGATTTGGCAAAAGGTATAATTTATGTGTCCTCAAATAAAGTGATCGGATTAATGATCTCGTTTGTTTCTCTCTGTTACGCATAGAACACGAGACTCGACTGCATACTTAACAAGATTTCAACATATTTTTCTTTCCTTAATACCGTGTACAACTTTTCCTACTAAACATTCTAACAGTTAAACATGAAATGTGCAAGACGAGAATTTTAATATTTCCATATTCCATTACCTTATTACAACTTTTTTCTTTATCTGCAAACTTCAATTTCTTGATCAAATATTGCAGGCTACATTTCCTAGAGTTCTTCGTTGGTTTCTACCTCTTCTTTTGTGGATGCTATGACTTTGCATTTGGAAGGAACCACTTCTTCGTGTACCTATTTCTCCAATCTATAGCATTCTTTGTCGTAGGATTTGATTATGTTGGGACTTTTGTTCTCTAATTCTCAGCAAGGCTGATGAAAAGAGTTTCGTCAATTCGTCCAAAGTTTGATTGTGCAGTATCTGTCTCATATTAGAAACAGTTTATATATGCCCATAAAAGGGCTGATTGTTCTTTTGCATAATGTGCTATTTGATTTATTTCTTAAATTAACATAATTTTTCAACCAATTAATTTGTCTGAGAAATAACATGGTCGAAAGGTGGGTCAGGGACAGCATGTCCCGTGCTCACTTTATGTCATAAGTTTGGATCAAGCATACGTTAAAAACGAGGAAAAACCTAAGTTGGGTTATGCAAAAGTGGACCGCCTTACACGTGTGAATCGAGAAAGGAGTGAACGCATATACATTGTATATGTTCATTATATGATTACTTGAATGGAAGGGGAGGGGAGGAAAGAGTCATTCATGAAAAAAAAAGGAATATAGAGCAGGACCACAAAAAGTACCCTAAAAATAGATACCCCATGGCTAAGGAATAACAAATAGAAGGTATGGCTATCATAAAACCTAACTGTCCTTTGTTTGGTATTCTAGCAAATGTGCCATTACTTTCTTGAATAAAAACAAGTAGATCTTTCCTGCAACTTTCTAAGGTACAATTATGGTTTCCAGGACCAATAGACTATCAGTGGACAAGTGGGACTAAGCATATTAACAATATCATCAAACTATTTTCTACCGTCAAGACGTGTGCGCACATAAAGAGAGTTGATACGTAACGATTCACGTGTTAATACGTAGTATAGTGGTGTCAATCGAGCCAGACTGGTCCAGTTGCAGAGGTGATAGGGACGCTCTTAAAGGCTGAGCCTATCCAGATTTTGTGACAAACTGGGCTGGGTGGGAAGGCAGGTTAGCACATGGAGGGGGCAACATACCAAGTATCATGAAGTGCCTTTCCTTTTAGTGCAGAAAGGAGTATCATGCGGCAGTAGTCTATTCAACTAAATTACCTTCTACCTATTTTTGGTCGATTTGGGACGAAAGACAATTTAAAGAAAAGGTTACAACAGAAAATTTGATTGCATTAAAAATAGCGTATTCAGTGATTAACGAAAAAAAAAATTACAACAGAATGTTTTCCATTTTTTTGAATGCTCATATAGTAATAAGCTTTTGGGGAAGAATTTTGATTGACTTGAATTATATTATAAGGATCATTTAGTCATAGAAAGAGCATAGAAAATTGAGCATGTCCTCTCACGACTCTTTTTTGTAGCAAAAGTATTTATCCTAGAAAATTAGCTAATCTAGAAGAAACCATTAAAGAATTTCAATCAATGTTTTCTTGAAAAATCAGATGGACTTCTTGAATAAGGCTTCATTTGGAAAATTTATAAATAGGATAAATAGTAGTAAATTCTATAAAATGTAATAATAATGAGAAGTAGTCGCCAATGTGTGATTTAAATGAATGTTTAATTTTGATTTTAACTGAATTTATAAATTGCATCCAAACAGGGTGCAAGTCCTTTAGCCCTTGTTTGACAATCTTTATTTGAAGAACATGGAGTTTTGAAATTTGAATTGTGATTTTTAAGAGAATACGTTGTTAAAAAGTATGATTTTTTTTTTATTTACAGACAAAATATTTTATTGTGTAAATGTGTGATTGAAATTGAGTATATAGGATAAATATTTTAAAATAATGATTGTCAAATAGAGCTTAATAGTAATTAACATCGATAAAGCTAGCACGAAAGTTAAAAATAAAAGTAATTGGAAGAAATGACCCGTGTCCTTGGGGGGCACCGACAGAATTGACCGGCTTTTGTACGAGGTTCATGAAATTGCGTGTACCTCGGAGCTTTGTTCTACACTAGCAATTGGCTAACGTGGAAATTTATTAGAAGGAACCAAAGTATTGAGGGTGAATGAAAATTAGTCCGTCAGTTAATACTTTATACAAATTAAAATTATTGTTGCCCATTTTTATTATTTATTTTTAAAATTTGGGGAAATTGGCATAAATGGTCCCCTAAAGTATAATCCTTGTCCTAAATGATCCCTATCTTTCATTCTTGACCAATGGAATCATGATTTCCTTGTACAAATCACCCATTCCGTCAAATTCTATTAACTTGATGGTGAAAAGTCGATTTTTTTGAATAAAAAGATTTGTATACCCTTATTATTTTAAATAAATAATATAAATACGATCTAACTTTCTTTCTCCCATACTCACCGTGACACCGTCACATCCTCTCTACTCAACTTTCTCTCTCTAAATACGTCATACTTGTGGCATGAAAATAAATAGATCCACTTCATTGAACTATACTTGTGTCGATACACTATTGTCAATACAAATATTGAGAAAAGAATACAATGAATATATATGTCATGTTGAACAACATTAGAAACTCACCTTCCATTTTAAAAATATCATTAACATTTCATATTCTATATTTGAGGATCATATACACACATGACCACTTTATGCGTTAGTTAAGTAAGAAACCCAACCTATTTTTAGTTAATAGGTTCCAGTTCGACAGTTCCTCTCTGTCTGATTGATGTAGGACAATTGGCGTTAGAATTTGAAGAAGAATTGGACCGAAAATTGGCAAAATGAGCTGTTTCGAAGAAACTAGCATAACTTTTTGCACCATTGTCAGAATTTCTATTATGATATGTTCTCGTTTCCAACTTCAAATTTGCAGTTTAAGGCATGTTATCGGGTCGTCGAAGTTTTAGCGTTATTTTTTATTTTTTAATAAATGTCTATTTTGGTCTTTTTGCTTAAATTAGGGTTTTCAGAGACTATTTAAAGTCTCTTATATTGCCGAATTTCGGATTATTGAATAATATTGGAGGCTATTGTTTTTCCTTGAGTTTCAATATTTCTTGTTACGTAAATCCAAGGCTTCTGTTCTGCGTCACTGACTCTTTGATATTAAGAACATAGATTTTAAAAATGAGTGATTATCCTTTTTCGACCTTTATTGCCTAACCTAAGAACAAACAATTAATATGGTTTTATAGTTTTAGACAATTATCACTGTGCCCTCCGCATAAAATTAATTCTCCTTTAAAACATGGCAATTGCATCAATAATTACTGCAAAAGTGGACCCCATCTACCTGTCAAATGGTAAAAAAATGAAATAAAAAATGCCAAAATGGATCCCAGACACACTTATAGTTTTTTGCCCTTTTGAATGAGTAAGTAATGTATTAATTTATGAATCTCAACATACAAAGGGTTTTATGATTATATTCAATAAATAAGAACTATTGGGAGTTTTTATCAAAGAAGCAAATAATAAGATACTTATTACATTTTATATTGTAAAATTATAATTAAGAAAGAATACAAGTGATTGTTTTATTGACTATATCATTCTTTTCCATTCCATGTAAATTACAAGCCCCAACCTTTGAAATTTCTGGTTTGAGGGGCTTCACTGTGCTAACGAGCATCGATAAACTGCTGCAAACAATTAATTAGAATGGCTCTCATCTTTATTATATATAATCCATATTTGGCACTACTAGTCTACCCTACGTATCACTATGAATTAAATTGAAAATAGTATGCCGACATATATATTGCCAAAATAAGCCTTATTTAAATAGATCGACAGAGCACCCCAAATCATGAGAATTGGTTCCGCACAAGAAAGATCGCTTGTGTTATAATGTTTATAATCAAAACTGTTAGACTCTTTCCATCAATTGCACAACCGAATAACAGCCTTCATACAACAGCTGATTTGGTGCCTGATTTTTAAGAATTGTGTTCGTTTTCTATTAGCCACTTGGCAACTTAATTCTAGAATTTTCTTGTATTTATAGTAAGCAAGACTCGGCTGTATAAATAGAGGAAGCAATGGAATGATCATGTACTGAAAATTGATTCAAATTAATGTTAGATTTTAACCTGGTATCAGAGCCAATATGGCTAACACTAGCACGTGCAACCAATCTAGTCCAACTGATTTCGGCATGTTACCAGTCGCCCAGGTTGCTGTAAATCAATTCCCACCGGTTGGAATGAATCTAAATCAAACTCCATCAGTAAAGCTCGATAGGAACAACTACCTCTTGCGAAAGAATATGATTATACCTATAATCAAAGGACATAATATAGAAGGATATTTGTTGGGAACCAAGGAGTGCTCACCAGAATTTCTAGCCACACAAACCATTGTTGGTTAAGGAGAAGCAATGGAGATGAATCAGAATCCTGAGTATAATAGATGGGTTTCAACTGATCAATTGTTGATGGGACGGTTATACTCATCCATGACTCCTGAAATAGCAATGAGAGTCATGGGATGTTCGAGTTTCAGCAAGCTATGGACTGCAGTGGAAGAAGGTTATGGTGTACTGAACAAATCAAGAGTTGTTTTTCTCACTGGTGAACTGCAAAGGACTAGGAAAGGCTCAATATCCATGGATCAAGACCTCACAACAATCAAGTAGTTAGCTGACAATCTAGAGATAGCAGGGAAGACTATAGATCATAGTGACCTTGTAACTCAAGCGTTATCAGAGCTAGATAAAAATACACACCCATAGTGGTACAAGTCAATAGCAGAGAAAACATATCTTGGCATGAACTGTCATCAGTGTTGATGACATTTGAGAACGGGCTTGAGTACTTGAACCAAGTCAAGAACAATTTTACATCTATGAATGTTGGTCAGTCTAGTGTACAACTAACTCAAAGAACTGGTTCAGGCAGTGGTAGAACCTTTAGAGGATTCAACAATGGTAGGTCAATAAACTTCAGAGGCAGAACCAGAGGCAAGGGAAGAGGTGGAAGACAAAGTGAAAACAGAGGACCCTGTCAAATTTGTGGACTAAACAACCACTTTGCTAGTTGGTGCTTCAACAGATATAATGAAAGGTATATGGAGAGTAAGCCAAGCAGCCAAGGTCATCAAAACAACAGCTCAGCACCATCAGCATATGTAGCCTCACCAAGAGTGCTTAAAGATCCAGTCTGGTTTGTGAATTCAGGTGCGAGCAACCATGTGACAGCTGACAAAG